GGTAGAAATCAAACAATAATAGAAGAAAATATCCTAGAACCAAAGGGCACGAATTTTAGATAAAAACACTCACCAAATATTTAGCCAAGGGCCCAGTAAAGCTCAACAGACAACAACAGAATGATACCAAGGCCCAGCTACCGGAACCTTAAGATTTCAGGAGTGAGTGAGGAGAACGTGCACGTGTTCAGAAGGCGCATCGGCCACAGGCGCTTAGGAAGTAGTGCGGGCCCCGTACTGGCAGCCAGAGGGCCATGTCCAAGCTCTGAAGGAGCATGATTCCCACGGCTGAATTCTGCCCGGTGAACTGATCTATAAAGTGTCAGGGAGAAAAAGGCATTTACAGACGTTAGCTTACAAAACTTTTGCTGCCATGCCTCGTTTCATAGGAAGCTCCTGGAAGGTGTGTGCTACCAAAAGAAGAACGGACCAAGAAAGATGACACATGTAGGACACAGGAAACAGGACACCCCACTAGGAGCGAGGGGACACAAGGGGACAACAGGGGCACCTGGAATAAGCGTCTGGCAGGTGGCGCAGCTCAGAGGCCCCATGAAAGGAGGAGACAGCTAGCGGAGGGCTGCGGTCAAATTAGCAACCAATACAAACGAGGCTAAGCGCAACGAGATGCGAGCACAGGTTGGTTGGGGAGCGGGCATTGCGCAAATGTATCACACAACTGACTTAAAACAAGCATTTAGGATGTCAGCACTAATCTAACAAAGTTACACTGAAGCTATGCCAGGAAGACAGAGTGGAAAAGGCAATCAGCGTCAGTAGTTGGGGAGTAGTGGTTGCGTGTATCCCTCACATTTTACAGACAGAATTGGAGAAATATTGTCAAAAACCGTAAAGGCAAGAAGTAGCAATGTAAACATGTTACATGGACCATGGAAACAATATATCAAATAATCAGTGAAAAGAAGAGACAGTCATCACTTTTAGAGAAGGACAAATGAAGAAAGGGATGTGAGGTTTATTATGCTGCTCATAATAAATAATATCATTAGATATTTACTTTTATGCATGCATTACTTTGATAAAATAAAGGAAAGGAAGTACAGAATACACTCCAAGAAATGTGAAGGAAAGAAATAGTGAAGAGAAAAATTAATACAGATAAAACAGGAAAGCTCATAAACGTTAAGTTTTATTTATTAAAAAGGCTAATAAGAAGATAGGCCTCTGACAAGACACAGGAAAAAAAGACAAAAGTAAGTATTATTAGGAGTTAATTTTTCATTCCACAAACACTGAGACCTGGTGTGCCAAGGACACAACAGTAAGCAAGATAAAGCTGTCCCTTCACTGATCCTTCACTGACAGAAAAGATTAAACAGGACACAGAAAACCCTTAAGATAAAGACAAATGAGAAAGACTGTTATTATTCCACTAAGTGAGAACGTCTGTTAGTAAATAAATACGAAGCTACAGACGGGAGAAGAGAACTGATGCACGCTAACTGCTAAGTGCAAGTCCCTGAATATATAAAGAACTACAAATGAACAGAGAAACTATCATAGAAACATGGACAAAGAATAGTGATATAATAAATCACAGTACACAAATTACCAGTAAACGTGAAAGACTGTTCCCCCTCATTCATAATGCAGGAGGTGCAAATGAAAATCACAGTGAGTCACGATTTCTCAGGAGTGAGATAAGCAGAACTTCTAACAGGGTGAGAATTCCAAGTTTGGGCAAGGATGTTAGACAGCAGAAACTTGGGTCAACTACTGATGCACTCTGGAACAACTAACTTAACCACTATCTGGGACAATATACCCTTAAAGCCAGCATCTCCCCGTCCCTGAGTACACCTAAGAAGCTACCACACATGTACGGAAATAGGTGTAAGAATATTCAGGTCAGCATTACTCGTAACACTGAAAACTCTGGAAACAATCTACAGGTCCACTGGCAGAAGGGTGGGCACACTGAAGTGGGGTCACTGAAGGGGTAACGAAGCACCTAAATGCCTCGTATGGGTTTGGAAAGGGAAGCTGTGGAAGTTTCCATCGTGCATATATATCTCATGATACATATACATCACGTGTAAAGCTGCCAAAAGCAGATGAACGTTTGGAGATACTGACGCTTGTGGTACACGCATGAGGAGAAGCCCGGGGGATGCTGGTATAAAATCGAGCCAGTGGCTCTCCGTGGTCCATGGAGGAAGAGGCAACGATGTGGTGCTACGTTCCTTCTGCAGGGTACGCGTACTGTTTCCTTACCAACCTTTAAACTCATCAAAGCATTGTGTATTCTCTTAGAGAGTCAATGTGCAGTACTAACAATGCATGTATTTTAAAGTGAAAGAAAGAAAAAATAATGGTAAATGTAGAACTCAATACAGAAGAGCAGTGTAGAAGTGCTAGTCCCCTACAAAAATTCCCCATGAATTTATGAGGAAAAATACAAATAAAATGGAAAATGAAAAAGCTGACATAATATAGAATGTTACAATTGTAGATAAATGCTAGGCATGGCTGTTACTAACACATTTTACAGCTCAAAAAAGGTAAGTTAGAACTAATGGGTAAAACAACAATTGGTACAGCAGAGAGAGACCAAATAGATGAATACATACAGAAGAAATTAAAAAGTTATTAGTAAACTACTCAAACTAAGTGTTCACACACTTTTCCTTGAGGTTATGGAGTGAATAATATCTGTGTTCATTGAAGCTCTTTTGGAAAAGGGGGAAAATGCAACAGTGAAGACTCAGATGACTCTCTTGCCGACTTCCTGCGAATCCTGACTTACTGTTTAATAGTGATATCCGTCCAAATTAACCTGGAGACCCAGTCTTCTGTGAAGTGGGGTTAATCTCACTGTATCACAGGCTGTCAGGATTAAATAGGGCAACACAACAACCCCCTAAGTCACCCAACAAATGCTCAAATATCAGCTCTCTCCTTCCTCTACTACAGTGTCTCCCAGCTCAGGAACAGAAAACTGAAAAAGGAAAGCTATCTCTCCAAAGGACTATTTCCACTATGATTAAAACTGTCTATTTCAATCCAGGAGTAATCAGTACAGTACTGAAAAGTTCTAGTTTAATACAGCTTAAGGAGCTCTTATATGAAGTGCCTAGGGTTGTGCCAGGCTTTGGAATAGCTGCACATGCACAGTGAGTGATTTTACAGAAGAACCCAAGATTAAACACGAAATTCATTTATGTTTCATACACACCTTATTATGTACACCCTTCAGTATTTTTTTTTCCTTTTTGAGACAGGGTTTCACTATGTAGTTCAAGCTGGCCTTGAACTCACTTTGTAGCCCATGCTGGCCTTAAACTCACAGCAATCCTCCTGCCTCAGCCTCCCAAGTGCTAGAATTACAGGTGTGTGCCACCTCGCTCAGCCCATACACAGTATTTTTTAGTGCATTTGAATTCAGGCTGCAACCCGTCACAGGAAGTCCGGTGTGCAAACTTCTACTTGTGGCAGCATGTCAGCGCTCAAAAATGTTGTCTTTTGGAGCGTTTCAGATTTTGGCTTAGTGGAACAAAGATGTTCAACCTGTACCCTGAAGATCAGAAATACACCTATTAAGATCCTAGAGGGCCTTTAAAGTCTTAGACAGTCAGCAAGGGATTCAACAGGAATAAGAAAAAAGAAAAACTAAAAACGAAATTCAGTAAACATTTAATGAGAAGAATGAATCAGGAGGACAACAGCAGAATAAATATTTGGAATTGCTAGCATTTCTTTATGGCAGCAATTTCCAGTCAAAACAAGTAAGATGGTTCAACTAAAACGTATGATTGTGTTTTCACATTATCACACACACTTGACTATAAAACCCTTCTATGCATAAAAGTGTTTCTTCATCTTCATATTCTCCCCATAGAAGTACAATAAGGAATTGGAGTTAATGATCAATGAATAGCTGATTGAACGACTTAAATAAAAAGTTACACCATAGTAGTAGGACTGTAGATCAATTTCTTTTGGTTAATCTGCCCCATTACTTTTTTTTATATCACTGTATAATACAGAATGAAACATTTAGAATGTCTTAATCTGGTTGTAATACAACATACAAATTCTGAGAATATCTTTAATTTTATTGAGCTAAGTTAAAAGCTTTTTGATAACTGAGTTTAGAATTAATATATTTAAATTCCATAAAAGATTTGAGTCCTAGACATTCCAGGTAGGTAGTTATTACAGTAAGATATAAATTCCTGCCTACTTCACTGGGTTACTGTGAAAAATCACTAATAAAAGGTTTGTAAAATTATTTTAAATCCTGCAAAATATTAGTTTAAAATGCAATGTCAGAGTGTTCTATTTAAGGCAATGAGCCTTCTAGCCTGTTGAGTGGCGGCAGGAAGACTCACCCCGCCCTTCTGCCACCAGACCCAGTGGGCTCTTCAGAACAAGTCAGAGCCACGGAACTGTCACGGTCCTGGCTGCCCAGGAAACAAGACCACGCTGCTTCCTGGCTGTTGAGCTTTGTGCCTGCCAGGTGTGACTGATACAAAAAAATGCACAGGCAAACTGGCCTGCTGGTGTTGTAGCCCGGCAAGAGCCAGAGGACAGCCCAGTGCTCGTGGAACCGCACATCCACACAGATGAAGAGCTATGCGGCACCGGAGCAGAGGCACAGTGTTCCCTGAAGACGGTGTTTGTAGGCACACGAGCTGCCCTCCTGTGTGTGCCCCAGTGCGGCTCCTCCTCCCCGGAGCAGGGCAAGTGGACCCCGCGCTGTCCGCATGGGACAGGATGCACAGAGTGGGAGAGAGCCGCCCACATGACAGCTGAGGACTTTTCTAAACCAGACCCTCTTAATTCATGCCAAACAAAAAGAGAAAAGGGTCGTGAAGGGAGGGTTCAGAGAGGCACCAACTGCCACAAGGAAGAAGCGTGACAGTTTGCGATGCATCCTGGGACAAATGTGCCAGCGAGTCCTGGTCACTTGCTGGGCTGTCAGGCCTACCTTGCCCAACGGGTCTCCTCCCACTGCCTTCCACATGCGTCATTCTTACCAAGACAGAAGGCTCCCGGCGTGGCCACCGGCATCCATTCTTCTCCTTTTCCCAGCTGAGAAAACGTATCGGCTTTCGGTCCTAAGAGTCCTGTTTTTGAGGGGAAAAATAGGACCACATCTATTCATAATAAAGACAAAAATCATTGCAAGGATGAGATCTGGTCCTCAGAACTTCCTGGAAAGGGTGACTGGACAGGAAGGCCCAGGCAGTCACATGCTTGGAGAAGAAAGAATAGCTCAGGCCTGACACTGACACCTGTTTCTAAGTTCCTCTCCCTGCTAGAAGGTGGGGTATGATGCAACCCCTAGATTTCTGAGACATTTCCACTTAGGACTCTAAAACAGGCCTGGGGACTACGGACAGGCAATTAGCAGCTCTCAAGACAGCATTCTCAGCGCGCCCACTTCCAGCCCACTCTTGTGTGGCGTCTGTCTGAAGGTTGTAACAGTATTGCCACTCGAGTGTCCGCCTTACCGAGTGAGACCAGGTTGCTGTAGTTCTCCAGCATCACGTCCCTGTACAGGGCCCTCTGCAGAGGGCTCAGCTGCCCCCACTCCTCCTGGGTGAAGAGCACAGCCACATCCCTGAAGGTCACCAAGTCCTGAAACAACAAAGCCAATCTCGTTGGCGAGGTGCTATCCTGGGAGGCTGAGGCCACTGTCCCCTGGACTGCGTGAGGATTTACAGGACTGTAAGCGTACAGGAACCTGGTGTCCAGGGCAAGGAAGCATGTGTATCAGATGTTGCTCCCCACTTTGAAGACTCATGGTTGCAGTGAAGATGTGCCTCCTCAGTACTGGGACCATGCACTGCGGTTCAGTTTCTCCCGTCTCCAGCAATCTGCTCAGCCTTGGCCTCTATCCACCCCACACGGCCAAACCCTAGTCAGGTCTCAGCACAGCCTTTCCTGTGATGTGGCCTGCTGAAGCTCTCGCCCCCTTTATTGTGATTTCCGGCTTACTTTCGGTCTGCACCTTTGGGCTGCTGCCTCCGAAGTATGGGTGAGTTCTACATCTCCCTTGTCTTCTTAGCATCTGCAACATGGCTCGTAGACTCAGTAACTATTAAAGTCACACATAGCATAATGATGCTCCCCTCAGTGACAGGCCACATTTATGACGGTGGCCCCAGAAGACTATGATGGAAGTGAGAACCACTATAGCCTAGCGACATGCATACAGCTGCGGTCAGGTTTTAGCACCGTGCATCACCTCTACGCTCTCGGTGACGCTGGGGTACAATACCTGCTGTGGTGCCAGGTTACAGAAGTGTGGCACACACGATCATGTGCAGCCCCTCCTGTCATTCGGCAATGACAGTAAACAACGTTCCTGATTACTGTATCCAGTATACTTTTAATCATCACTGTGGAGTACATTCCTTCTACTTATTTAAAATAAGCTCCCTGTAAAAAACAACACATGTGTCATACTGCTAAAAGCCTCATACATCTCCTGTCCATCTTGACTGCCTCAGGAAGCCACACCGGATGGCTGACCCTGGCCACCTAGATTTGTACAGACACTGCTGATGGTGTTCGCACAAGGATGAAATCACCTCATCACGCACTTTTTCAGGACATGTTACTGTGAGGCAACGCAGACTGTACTTTTCAGCATCTCCTCAACTGCTCGTCTTTCCACCCCCCAGACACGCACACACACACATACACACACACGCCAAGGAAGCAGACGCATCATACTCCTGGGCTCTGTTCCCTCTGATTTACAACTAGACCTTTCTTTGCAAACTCTCAAACTAAGAATAAATTGCCATTCTCAGATAACTGGAATCTAACACGTAAAATTCAATGTTCTCACAAAGTCTTCCTGGCTGACAGGCAGCTGGGCTGCACTGCCAAAGAAAACCAAGGGTTATCAGAAAGGACTTTCAGCTTATTCTAGCTGCTGCTTCCGCAGTCAAAGTCCAGTTTACCTTTGCCTCTGGGTTTGGGGAAACAACTCAGCATCTTTCCCATACACGCCGACTTCTGATCAAGGCTGTCTTGATCAGGCTTCTGTCACCCACACGTAAGCCCTAGTACACGGCAGGCAGCCTAGAAACGCTTGCCGAACTGAACTCACGAGCCAGTCTGTCAGGGACTAGTGTTCACCTGGGAGTTTCTGGTACAGGTCAGAATGCTCGGTACACTGTACATCCCTGATACATGTCCATTCGTGGCAACCAGAGTAATGCAGGCTATACACCAAGATGAGCTAGGATACTGAGACGGTTCAGACAGTTTGCCCCCAGATGCTTGTATGCTAGATTTGGCCCTCAGTGTGATGGTGCTGACAGGTGGCATAAGCTTTACGAGGTAGAATTAGGTAAAGCTTTAAATGTGAAGGAATTAGGACAATTTTGCCAAATGCACCCAAATTTATACACCGAATGAATGTATGAATGTGCCCCCTTTAAAGCTGATTGCATACTCTTATTTTATTTTATTTATTTTATTTTGAGATAAGGTCTCCCCATGTAGTTCAGGCTGGCCTTGAACTTGTGACAATCCTCTTGCCTCAGCCTCCCGAGTGCTGGGATTACAGGTGTGTGCCATCATCCCTAGCTGCATACTCTTATTTTATTGTTGTTTTTTTTTTTGGCTTTTTCTCCGGTACCGGGAACCGAACTCACGACCTTGCGCTTGCCAGGCAGGCGCTTTTGCCACTGAGCTAAATCCCCAGCCCCACATACTCTTATTTTAAAGAGGCTGGCACCACACAGAGCTTTTTTGGAATGTACTGAACTTGGAAGCGCATTTTTTGTGGGGAGGTGTGCCAGGAATGAAATCCAGGACTTGGGCATGCTAAGTGTTCTACTGCTCAGCCACATCCTCACCCTACAAAAGAAGTCTTTTGAATAATTTCATTGGTATCCATTATTTCTATGAAGTAAAAAACCAAATAACAGTTTAAGAAATAGAAGTCAATAGAGCTCTCCCTACAAAAGAAGTCTTTTGAATAATTTCATTGGTATCCATTATTTCTATGAAGTAAAAAACCAAATAACAGTTTAAGAAATAGAAGTCAATAGAGCTCTCCAGGGCTGTGTCAGGTCTTTTCCACTTTAGACCTCTAACCTTACTTGCTGTGTAGAAACAGTACTGGGGAAAGGTTTTCATCTCAGACCAACCAGTTGTGCCCCATACGTGACCTTTAGCAAGTCATCTAGCTCTAATGTCCACTTGGATGAGCCTAACATGGGGTGGGAGGACGCAACCGGGGTCAGCCGTCTGGGGGAGACTGGAGGAGGAGTAAAGCTCCGGGGCAGGGGAAGAGACATCCCCACACTCTCCATATCAGAAGGTAATTTAGGGAGAAAACCCCACTCACCCGGGCCATGGTTGGCAGGTGGCTCACAGCCATTCTCTCTTCTCTGATGCGGTCCTCTCAGGGGCAGGTAAAGTACTGTGGAGGTCGGTGGGGAGCTTGGCAGGCGTGAGATCCCTCAGGCTAGAAGGACCTTTACACCTGTTATGAGAGGGCTGGGTCAGAAGGTGTCACACAGCAGGAGGGAGGCTGTGAGCATTCATATCCCAGGGATCCTCCTGTACCTCACTGCAGGAACACTCTGGTCCCTATGTGCTTCCAACGCCCCTGCTTCTGAAAGGATTCTCCCTGCTTCCTCCCTCACATCTTTCCTCTAGTCAGACCCTCCATGTCTTTCCTTCTGTATGTTAAATACTTCGATTTGCAGAAAGCTTGCTCCAGCCCCAGTTCTCACACTTTGTACCCACCCTCCGTCTTCCTAAAGCTATGCTGAGGACTCCTAAGGAACTGTCTCTCCTGGGCCTGCTGATCCGGAGGGCAGCAGAGGAAGCGGGGCGAGGGGGTGACTTCTTCCTCCTGAAAAGACGCGATCTAAGCAGCCTGGATCTTCACTCGGGCCACGCCCTTCTATGCCTCAGCTTGCATTTGGGTGACCCAGAGTCGAAGGCGAAGCCAGAAGCTGAAGGTGTGTCCCTGCCGCTCGGTCGGGCCCCCAGGGAGGCGCTGCGGGGCTGCACTGCGGCGCCCTCGCCCTCGCCAACCCTGTCGCGGGCAATCAGCCGGAGCCCGACCCCCTGTGCGCCGGAGCTGCGGCTGCACCACACGCTAGGGGCGGCCTTCACCCCGTCCGCTCCACATGCACTCAGATTCGGACCCTAAGCCCAAGATACCCGATCCTGTCGGTCCCTTCCTTTTCCATTTGGAATAAAATCTCAGACACACACGTTTGGGGCATTCGATCAGGGTCCTCCAGAAGGGACCGTGACCCAGACCTCTTCGGCTTTCCCTCAGCCCTTCTTCCCAGACCTGACCACCCCGCCGTCGCTCTCCCTTCGCGGCTTTGGCCACCGTGCCTGGTCACCGCTAGGTCGCCCTTCCAGGAGCCTCTACCGGCGGCGAGAAACCACGGCCAGCACATCGCAGTCAGTACACAATGAGCTGGAGTCTGCATCCCCTGAGTCTGAACTGCGCTTGCGCGTTGCCACGGGAACCGCGGACCCCAGTTCCCACAAGTCATAGGGCTGCGGCATTTCTGTTTGCAGGACTTCACATCCCAGAAGGCGAAGCTGTGGAAAGTGAAGACCTGCGCCTGCGCACACTGGCTAAGCCGTCTGGGCGCTGCGGCTCTGAGTACTGAACTACGTTTCCCAGAAGCCTCTGCGGGGCTCCGCTTCCCTCCCCTACGCGCACGGAGCCGATCAGCGCAGATTTGACTTCTGTCTCTACCTTGAAACAGCGCCCCGGAAGCTGTAGACCAGCAGTTGACCAGATCAGGGAGATTGGTCCAGGGGAGCGGCGCCTGATCGGGTGACAAAAAGCCCGGAGGGCAGAGTAGTTACTGGGAAGGCTGGCAGGATCACACCTTTGGCCCGAAAAAAGCGTCAGATTCTCTCGTCAGGCCCGGCAGCTGGGCCGAGGCGTGGTTCCGAGAGGTGACGGTAACTCCTGCAGTAATCGTGGGGTTGATGGGTATATTCGGGTAAAGACCCTGGAGGAGTCTGCCACAGCAACTCAGGACGGAGTGGACGGCAGCTGGAACAAGGAGGAACAAAGAGACTGACAGGGGCGCTGAGAATTGCCCCAGCTGGTAGAACGGACTCATAGGCGAGGGCGAGCGGATGCCGAGGACTCTTGTCTTGGACAAGTGGATGATATTTAGAAGTTAGAATTTCTTTTTGTTGACTGTGTTTGGCTGGGGTAATGTGTAGGAATACCCCTGCTGGAGACAGTTCTCGTTGAATATGTAATATTCATGGATATCAGGAAGGAAAGATGAGGATTTCATGTGACCTGAGCTTAGTAACTTAGGGAATTTTTGGCCACCTTTTAGGAAGCAATGTATGTGACACCACATTTTCTAAACATTGGGGTTTTGATTGCATTCTCTAGACATTTACGAAGTATTTTATGAGCTAGGCACTACTTTAGAGCCTGGGTAAATAGGCAAAAACCTGCACTCTTGGAGTTTTAGTCTACTAGGGGAAGTAGCAAACGAAATAGGAAATGGCACACTGTGATAACTGTGCTGGGGTAGAGTGTGATGGGTTGTACATGAAGTAGCGTTTTGGGATATTCTCTTTGAGGAGGTAAACAGAGATCTGAATACAGTGGGGTAGGAAACCACATGAGGATCTTAGAGAAGCCTCTAAGGGGAGCGAGAAGAAATGCTGTCTATGGAGAGAAGTCTGCTTAGTGAGCCCGAGGCTTAGCAGGCCTGGTGTGCCTGGCAAGGGCACACCAGACAAGGGAGAGTGGAAGACGGGTGGTGGTGGGGTTAATGAGGTCCGAAGGTCATGGCAGAAAATGTGGATTTATCTGTATGTAATGGCATGCCACCAGACAGATTTGAGCCAGCACCATTGCTGAGCACAACAGAATAGAATCACTGGTCAGCTTCAGGAAGAACAGACTAGTGAGGTTGAAGAGGAATAGGAAGCTAGATAGGAGGCTTTTGTAGCAGGGTGAGGAAAAGCCTCCCACAGCTGCATAACATTTCTAACGTATTTGCTTTGTGAACCTGGTGACTCTAAGGTAATTAAGAGTTCTGGATGCTACATTAAGTAGTAGTTTAGATATGATTCTGTTTCAGGATGACAGAAATATTTATCTAGCACTGGCTAGGTACTAAAAACTACACACTTTTACAACACTTTAATGCAATCCAAAGCAATTACATTTGTGCTATTAGCAGTGAGAAAAGTGAGACACTGATACATTAAAGGGAATTAGGAATCCTGTTCCTGCTAATGGGAGAAAGGTCAAAGGCATCCTTGTTACTTAGCTGAGAGCTGACATCCAAGGGCCCAAAGTCTTCTAAAACTGAAAATAGTTACAAAGCCTCCACTTACCTGACCCATTTATCCTGGGACTACTGCAGTTAGTTAGGGAGTACCTATCAACACCTGCCACAGCCAGTTAGAAAAACAAAACTGAAGAGAGTAATGACACCATTAATGTGAAGCCCACTGTACCCTCCCTCAAGCCAGGGCCCAAAGCAGCAACCCCTACTCCTCAAGGATTTTTATTGTGATCCATTCTGCTCAGAGAAATGAGGTTAAAAATGTAGTCAGGAGAAACCATTCCTCTCTCTGCTTCCACTATCAATTATGCAAATATACACTTATATGCAACCAGAATCTGCATCAAATCTGATTACTCTTCCTCAGAATAGGAGTTATTTCCTACAAGTTCTTAGTGTTCACTTGCTGAGCCATGTTATATGGTGCTTGCTACAGGATGCAATGAGAGGTTCATTTAGCTTTATTTCCTGTCATCCCTTGACTTCTACTCTACACTCAAATCATACATCCTTTACAATCTCCTAAATATAAACGCACTCAGCCTTTTTGCAGTTCCTTCTGCCCTTACCTCTTACCTTTCTTTCCATCTTATTGGCTCACTCCCATGGCAGCCTGTGTTGGGAGCTACTCAGCAGCAGTCCTTCACACTGGAATTCATACAAGCTACCTATACACTGACTAGGAACACTGTCTTATTCATACTTGTCACTCAAACATTGACTAGAAAGTGCTCAAGCAAGTCTGTGGACTACAGGCAGGAAATGAACTGTGCCAATGTATATTTACCTTGGGAAATAACCAACTATATCCTAAGCATTCATCAATTTTCAGAGTCCTTTTCCTTCCAGATCAGCTGTAAATTTTTTGCAAGAGTTGGATGCAGTCCCCTTGAATGTCCATGTGTTGGGGGCTATGATTAACCTAAAAGGGAGGAATACTGACACTATAGTCTTCAGCTCCATATGTTATGGAACCCTGACTGGTAATCTCTTTAAATGTTCAGATACCCATTTCACAGAGCTGTGGTGAAGGAAGTAGCTCATTTGACTGATGGTTCAGCCATAGAGAGAAATTACCTAACACCCAGTTCTCTGTGGTTCCAGACGGTGTTGTGTTTGTTTTAGACATCATTTAGACATCATGTGATTGCAGCCTAATTCCTCATTCATTTATGACCTCCTGCCATGACGTTCTTGAGAGCCCTAGATCTCTAGCAGCTATGGAGGAGGTGCTCAGCAAATACCCAATGGCATGTTTGTCATGGATAGCTAGCTGCTGCTCAGAGGCCTGACTGCATGGATGGTGACTGTATGGCAGCCTCCTCCCCACCAGTTAACTGGAAAAGGAATAGGTACTTAGGCAGAAAAGGGCATTTGTGACTGCATGGCAGCCTCCTTCCCACCAGTTGACTGGAAAAGGAATAGGTACTTAGGCAGAAAAGGGCATTTGTGAGGTCTGTCCTAAAAGGATGATCTACATCAACTGGGATCCTTTCATAGAATTTTAGAATTAGGACAGAGATGTGGTCAGAAAGAACAGCTAATGCTCATGTTTTGGGTCATGTGAAACTTTAACTGTAAACATGAGAAGTTATCCATCAGTGATGACAGTGGCAGAATACCAGCTGGTGGTGGTAGCAGCAGTCAGGAGGATGGAGGGGAAAAGGCACACAGATGTCCTTGGCTGCTGATGGTTCCAGATGACATGAGGTCTGGCTATAAGTTATTTCAAGAAACAAAAAGATAATTCTCAAATATTATAGATACTACTGTTAGACCTCAGAAAAAAGACCTAAGTAAAAGACTTGGTTTAACAAGAGGACACCATAGCCAAGGTTTCTTACCCAGATCTTTATATTGTGGGTATCATTTTGAGGTGCTTCCCAAATAAACAGCACCCTTTCCCTCAACCCAAGTTTGGAGGCTTGAGGATGGAGCAAATCACCAACACTTCTCCACTCTGACCTCGAAATGCTTTGATTCGCCATACAGATCCCAGGGCTCCCTTACTGCATTTAAATATAAACTAGTGGAGTGAGAACAAGCAAAGAAAAGGGGAGAATGAATCACAGAATGTACTAAGATTTTTAATAATATGCCTTGCTTGTGCCCATTCTCTGTTTCTTGTTTCCCACCTGTCTCACAATAAAAATGGAAAGAAGAAAGGAGGCTGAGAAAATAGATGGGTAGAAAACGGATGAAAATGATTAAGATACAACAAAATAAAATTTTAAGAGGAAGGCACAGGAGGGGGAGATGAAGGGTACTGAAACAGGATGAATATAATGCAACAAAGTTAGTAATCATCCTGAGGAATCACATAATGCAAAGACTAGATTGCCTAAAGACCTAACAATGATAATTCATAGGCAAGTCTTCCATTGCTACCCACATGTTCTGGAGCCATGATTTCTTAATTCTCCCACCTCACATTGGAGATTCCATCCTCCTGCTGAAAGGATACCTGCAGCCTGTTTGTGCTCCAAATCTTACTTTTTCACTCTGAGCTGTAGATCTTCTCTTTCCTGTGCCTCCTGACTCTCCTATGCTGCTTTTTTTCTTTTTTGCAGTTATAAATACACTTAATCCTACTTTTCACCATACAAACACACCCTGGCAGACTACTGGTTGGCCAAATCAACACCATTCTGAAAGCCTTTTTATTTTTGTTTACCTCCACTAGAGAGAATGGAAGAGTTAATTCCTCCTTTTTCAGTCTCCCTTACTGCTGGGGGTGAGGCATGTATAGCTGTGGTCAAGGAAATGGAAGGAGTATGCTAAAATACACTGATATTGCTGGTCCTACCCATCTGATATTCCTACTACAAATGCAGACATTTTACCTGAAGCTTGGCCATATCATACAACCAAGATAGAAACCCCATGAAATTCAAGGTATCCAATTACATCTGTGAATGCTAGCATCCTCCAGATTTGTTATTTGAGAAAAATTAATCTCTGCTTAAGCCATTGTTAAATGGGCTTTTGATTACCTGCAGCCAACGGCTCTTCTGGTAAGTAAACCCCCTTTTAGCCCCCATCTCCCTCTTGTTATCTAAATCTCTCCTGTCTTGTAAAGCTAAGTCTCTCACAAAATTTAACTCACTCTTCAACCCATTAAAATTTGCAGAGGTTTTAACATCTGTTTTAAATTGATAACCATAAGCAAACAACATCTTTTATGTTTATCTTTACCTTCTGTGGCACTGGATAAGATTAGCTACCCCTATCCTACACTAAAATTCTTTTACTTCTGTGGCACCACCACTTCCTGATTTTGGTTTTCTTTTGGGAGTTCATTCCTTTTAAGTTCTACTGATTGCTCTTTGCCCTTACTCTTACAGTGACTTACTCTTACAGTGTACTCCAAGTACAGCCTTCTGCTTATTTGTGTGTGTTCTGCTGCCTTTTAGAAATCTTCATTCTGCCCCGAGACTCATGACCATGCCTTTAAACTCAATACATCACTGCCAGGCAAAATCAGTTGATTTTGTGTGCTCTTAGTTATGGTATGCAAATCCACTCAAATAAGACATTTAAGTCACTGTAAACTCTTCCTTCTCATTCAAATAGCTGTATTTAAACAGTTGCTGATTTTTTTTTTCATCACTGCCTCATCACTGCTTCAATTCTTCTTTCCCACAAAATATACTGCCACTTCCTTAGTTTAGCCCCTAGAACAGTGATGGCAAGCTGTTTTAGAGCTCTCAATGATAACAGCCAGCTGCAGCACATATGCCACAGTTTCACTCCCACAGCCTTAGAAAATAATGTATCTTAATCATTCTGATTTTCTAATTATGTCTTTAGTATTTGTTAAATATGGGTGGAGTAAATGAATAAATAATAAATTATCATTATGAAGATGTATAAAATATCTCTGTGGTTGTTTTGAATATATTCTGAGTTGCAAAGGTTTTGCCAATATGCCAGATGTCCATGCATATTAGTGTTTGATCCCTCTTACTCTTTTCTTTTTTACTTGGGCAGTCAAATGCAACACATAGATATGTATCTGAGTCTATGCCATACATGTAGACTGTATTTAGTTTTCCAAACAGCTAATTTAACAAGTTTACTATTGAGAGAACTCAAAACAGCATGCCAGTGCATTAAGATTTGTACAATTATTCTATTACCTGTTAGAAACCAGTGTATATTTTAGGGTAAAAAGTAAGGCAGGGAGAAGGGAAGACACATGGTAGATAATAACCATTGGTAGAGGTAGAGAATTTTGACTCAAAACATCCAAGTTAAACAAACTGTCAAGTGGAAGCACCTAGAAAACATGTGAGAGTAAAATGCCAGAAACTTCCCAGCAACATCATTTGTAGTATTTTAGCAAATTGGGGTCCTCCAGGAATTCAAAATCCAAAATCTCTCAATTACCAGATAAGTAAACCATGACCCAGTAAAAGTGGGTGACTTTTCTAAACTATTGGCAGCCAAAACTACCTACCAGGTCTTTGGGCTGTCCAGCCATGCACTGTGACAGTTTCTTTTCACTATGAAATACCTGATGTCCAGAGGAGCATCTGCAGTATGATAAAACAGAACTTATCTTCATTGTTTATAGACTAGTTACTCAAACCTCACATAAAGTAACTTTTATCTTCTGAATCAAAATTTCTCCACTCTCATAAGGTTTCTCTGCCATGGTATATATTATCTGATGTAGTATATGGTACTTCAACTAAGACTGCCATAAGTGTTACATTGATTAAGCATCACATCTACATCAACATGACTTATGTGATTACTTAAGAATTAATCATGATGAAGTGGCTCATGAATGCTTTCCTCATGTATGAGTTCTTTGATGTCTTGTAAGGTTTGTACTCCGACTGAAAGCTTTTCCACATTCATTACACTGGTAGGGTTTCTCTCCTGTATGAGTTCTCTGATGCACTGTAAGAGATGAATTCTTAATGAAAGCTTTTCCACACTGATCACATTCGTAGGGTTTCTCACCAGTATGAATTCTTTGATGTTCAATAAGGTAGGCACTCTGGCTAAATGCCTTCCCACATTCAGAGCATTCATAAGGCTTCTCTCCAGTGTGAATAACCTGATGTACAGTAAGGGATGATCGTCCAGTGAAATGTTTTCCACAGATCATACACTCATAAGGTTTCTCTCCAGTGTGAATTCTCCGATGTTGAGTAAGGGATGAGTTCTTACTGAACGCTTTTCCACATTGATTACATTCAAAAGGTTTTACTCCAGAGTGAAGTCTCTGATGTTCTATAAGGTAGGTACTCTGGCTAAAGGATTTCCCACATTTATTACATTTATAGGGCTTTTCTCCAGTGTGATTTCGCTGATGTAGGGTAAGGGTTGAACTTTTGCTAAAAGCTTTTCCACATTCACTGCATTCATAGGGTTTTTCTCCAGTATGACTTCTCTGATGCACAATAAGATGCATGCTTTGACTGAAGGCTTTTCCACATTCATTACATTCATAGGGTTTTTCTCCTGTATGAGTTCTCTGATGTACAGTAAGATTCATGCTTTGTGTAAAAGCTTTCCCACATTCATTACATTTGTACGGTTTCTCTCCAGTATGAATCCTTTCATGTTGAATAAGGGAAGCATTCTTACGGAAAGCTTTTCCACACTGTTTGCACTGATATGGTTTCTCCCCAGTGTGAGTTCTTTGATGAACAGTAAGGTTCATGCTCTGACTGAAGGCTTTCCCACATTCATTGCATTTGTAGGGTTTCTCTCCAGTATGAATTCTTTCATGTACAGTAAGGGAGGAACGTTCAATAAAGTGCTTATCACAGACACTGCACTTATAGGGTTTCTCCCCAGTATGAATCCTCTGGTGTTTAAGAAGTGACGAGCTCTGGCTGAAGGTTTTTCCACATTCATTACATTCATAGATTTTCTTTCCTACAAACATTTTTTGAGATTTCATTAACTCACAATTTTGTTTGGCATCTTTTCTAGGTGCATTCCTATTGTGGGGAGATTTTGACATAGGAATTCCTTGCTGTGTATTAAGGACTGAATCTTGATTGGTACATTTTTCATGGTCATTACCTCTATGTACCCTCCTCTCGGTGAGGGTTCCCTTATGGATAGCTTGGCCCAGATGTCTTTCCTGTTGCTCTTCTAACAAATTATCAGGTTTCCAGGCTTCCCCTAAGGTTGAATGCCAGAGACCTTTTCTTTCCATTATGGATCCATGGGATAAATTTTCAGTAATGCTGGGCTTTGGAGATAACTTGTTGGGTTCAAGTCTTGTCTCCAGGTCTGAAAATGTAAATTAAAATTCACATTAGTTTCTATGTTGGGAGAGTGAAAACTTTAAAGATGGGTAATTGAAACTAGAATACATATTAGACATATTTTAGAGCTTTAAAAGATGTCTTTCCAATTTGATAAAGAAATTGGAAGAGAAAGATCAGTGGACCTGTCTATAGAAAACAGGGTAACTAGAAAAAGGTGATGGTAAATCCATTGAGTAATCAGAAGAAAACATGCATTTGGGAAGGGTGGGCAATTGAATCACTAAACACTGGTGTAGGTCCAATAATGAAGATGGAACTGTGGGAAAATAGATGAAGTGATGTGGTTGGTAGAAGCACTTCAGAAGGCTGCAACATCATGCATTATATACATACCAGTATTTTCTTTCTTCCTGTAAGGCTGCTTAGAATCCTATAGCAAATTACTCTTTATAAAACAGCACAGTGTCACACAGGGAAGAGGTTGCTGAGCTGAGAGTCAGACAAATGGGCTCAAACCATGACTTTTCATGCCATCTAAACTCATTGTTTCTCTGGGTCTGAGTTTTTACAGATACAAAATATCTGAATATTTTAGATACACATATATATATTTATATCGATAATACTCCTACCAGTAAGGAGTAAGATGATATATAAAATTTGTTCTTGGGGGAGGAATAGGATGAGATATGAAAATTATCCTCAATGAACATATATGTCTGGAATAGAAAGCACCAGAACACACTTGAAATCTCTTGAGGGAGGATGATGCATTCTAAAGGCTTTTCCTCAGACTTTGTGGAGAAGGATATTCTTTGATTAGAAAGCACCGAGGACACACAATGATTTTTTTATTGTTGCAAACTGAAATCTTTCACCTGAAGAGTATATTTGAATTGCAGGAGATCCTTATTTTTTAGTCTTGCCACGAATCGTAAAAATTAATGGGAAGTAAGGACTGTGATTGTAGTGGATTGATAATTAGTGGTCCACTTATAACCCCCAGCTGAACTGAGTAAGCGTGGTGCTGGGTGTGGGAGGCCCACTTGCGGATTGTTGCTAGCAGTGTAAGAGGCAGAATTGGAGAAGGATTATCTTTTAATTACTAAAACGTCTGGTATCCACCCATTTGTACTAGCTACACCCTCGGTTCTTGCTCAATAAAAGGTGATTGAGATTGGTAATCAGGGGTGCAGTCTGAGAGGCTCTAAGCCCCCGATCCCAGACTTTTGCCTCTCTTGTTTTTCTTGTCTCTCCTACTTTTCTTTTCATCTGCAGGCACCTCGTTCTCAGGACCTGTCACTCTGGCTAGAATGACAAAACTTTAAGCAGACTGTAATGTTTCATATAGAAAGCACCCTAAAGGGCTCTACCCTTGCTTACATATCCTTTCTGTGATTATTAGAACTGGTGGCAAGGTAAACTGTTGAAATGCTGGAAAGAGGGCTGATGGAAGGACATTGGAGCCATTCAGATGTTATTTATTCATATCCCATTTCTTATTCCAGAAAAAAATGGTCACTGGTAATGTGTACAGAGGACAGGAAACTGTAATCTGAGAATCAGCCTTATGACTGCTGATCAGAATGAAGATAATGGAGATCAACACTGAACCCATGAACCAAAGGCTATGAACACACGCTGTACCATGAAGCGAGAAATTCATAAACTGGGATCACACTTTCCAACCTATTCTATTTACATAAAATAAGAGAAAGAGTTGAAAATCAAGCAGACTCCACTTCCAAAACACACACACCACCAAGTAACCCCAGAGAAGATCCATCCAATGGAACATGAAAATATCTGCAGGCAGCTGATGAACTGGAGACTGCCTTGTGGCCTACCTTACTATGGTCATATTCAGCTATCTGATTCAAGTTCTTTGGGACTATTTAAACTGCAACCCATGAACTAACATAAAGAACAAAGAGATCTACTCCCATTAGACAAATACAAAGTCCAAACAGAACGACTTCCATTGAAAGGTAGATAATCACAAAAAATATTAACTTTAGAACCTCTATAAAAGATCAGAAAATAATTTTTAAAAATAAGAGCAGCAGGATAATAAGAAGCAAAGGCATAAAAGCCAAAAGGGAAAATAGGAGTTGAGAAATAAAATGCTTCTAGTTAACCAAAGCCATTATAGAATGGAAAAAAGTTACATGCTGGGAGAAGATATTCACAACATGTGAGCCACATAAAAGTACAAGCCAGACAGGAAAAACATCTATGAAACACTAAGCCACTACAAAGGCACAAAAGACTTAAATAAGTACTTGAGAAAACAAATGTTTTTGTGTTTGTTTTGTAGATAGAAGCAAAGATACCCAATCTCAGTAGTAGCCAGTGGAAGGCAGATTAAAGCTGCAATGAGGGGCTGGGGATTTAGCTCAGCGGCAAAAGCGCCTGCCTGGCAAGTGCAAGGTCATGAGTTCAGTTCCCGGTACTGGAGAAAAACCAAA